AAAAAAAAAAAAAAAAAATTAACTAGTTTTTAAATATCTTAAATCATTTTGAAAATATTTGAAGAAGGGAAATCTCTAAAATGAAAAAGAATTGGAATTTGTTAGGTACTCTATTTTAGATGTTTAGATTGTGGGTCATATAAGCCTAGAGGGGGTTGTTTCTTGTCTGTCTGAACCTCAGGAGTTTTCCTTTCCTTCTCATTCTAGACCCATCCAAATGTGGATAAAAAACTTTTCACTGCAGAGTCTCTAATTGGCCTGAAGAATCCAGAGAAGTCATTTCCAGTCAACAGTGACGTAGGGGTGCTAAAGTGGAGACTACAAACCACAGAGGAATCTTTTATTCCACTGACAAGTAAGTGCCTCTGGCCAGTCCCACTAAGCTAGTTTGCATTGAGAACTAGAACTTGTACACTTTTATCTTCATTGCCGTAGCAAAGTTCTTTCTGACAAAATGACCTCTTTTGAAATGGACCTGGTGCTGCATTTTGTATATTTTTATAATTAGTTTTCATTTTTAATAGCTTTCATTTTGAAACCATTGTGGTTTTGTTGTTGTTTATTTTTGTTGTTGTTACTGTTTTAGAGACAAGATCTTCTGTTGCTTAGGCTGGAGTGTAGTGGGGTGATCATAGCTCACTGCAGCATCAAACTCCTGGGCTCAAGCCATCCTCCTGCCTCAGCATCTGGAATAGCTTGGACTAGGACTATAGGCGCATGTCACCATATCCAGCTAACTTTTTTTTTTTTAAAGGCACAGACTCCCTCTGTCACCCAGGCTGGAGTGCAGAGGTGTGATCATGGCTTACTACAGTCTTGAACTCCTGGGTTCAGCTGATCTCCCACCTCAGTCTCCTGAGTAGCTGGGAGAACAGGCAAGTGCCACCACGCCTGGCTATTTTTTTTTTTTTTTTTTTGGTAGCGGTGCAGTCTCACTTTGTTGCCTAGGCTGGTCTTGAACTCATGGCCTTAACCAATTCTTTCACTTTGATCCTAGCACCTTGATCTTCTAAAGCACTGCGGTTACAGGCATGAGCCACTGTACCCAGCCATCTTTTTCTTATATTCTGGTATGACTGCTTTGCTTTCTCCTCAGTTAATTGCTGGCCCTCAGAGAGTGGAAATGGCTGTGATGTCAACATAGAATATGAGCTACAAGAAGATAATTTAGAACTGAATGACGTGATTATCACCATCCCACTCCCGTAAGTGCTGTCCCCATGTAATCATGTTCCCTGTGTTGGACTTACAGAACTGGTCTTTTGGAACTCGTTTTGGAGTCAGCACCTACCTGACCTAACCATTCAAAGATACTTGCTTCTTTAAAAAGCTAGTTGTGAAAGAAGCCAGATATAAAAGGCTGCATGTTACATGATTTCACTTCTTTGACTTTCTGGAAAAGGTAATACTCTTGAATAGAAACTAGGAGGTAGAGAGGAAGGTACTTCACTTCAGAGGGGCACAAGAGAACTTTTGGGAATGATAGGAGTGTTCTGGGACTTGTGTTTGTTTTGGCAGCACAGGCACTAAAATTGGAGCCATACAGAGAAGATTAGCATACCCCTTTGCAAGGATGACATGCAAGTTTATGAAGTATTTCATATTTATAAATAAAACAAAGGAACATTGTTTTTTTGAGATAGGGTCTCGCTCTGTCACTGGAGTCTTGTCACTGGAGGGCACTGGCACGATCTCGGCTCACTGCAGCCTCCACCTCTCAGGCTCAAGGTATCATCCTCCTACCTCACCCTCCAAGTAGCTGGGACTACAGGCCCACACCACCATGCTCGGCTAATTTTTGTATTATTTGTAGAGACAGGTTTTGCCATGTTGTGCAGGCTGATCTCAAACTCCTGAGCTCAAGTGATCTGCCCCCTTGGCTTCCCAAAGTGCTGGGATTACAGGTGTGAGTCACCACGCCCAGTTAAGCATTGTTGTATGACTTGATTGTTGTGGTGCTTACTGCATACAGTTGTTGAAATACATTGAGCACTTTGAAAGGGATGGATTTTACTGACTTTAAAACCAAATCAGATGAACAAGCCAGTTGTCCTTCTAAGCCTATTTTTATTTTTTATTTTTTTGAGACTGAGTCTCACTCTGTCACCCAGGCTAGAGTGCAGTGGTGCAATCTTGGCTCACTGCAACCTCCGCCTCCTAGATTCCAGCGATTCTTGTGCCTCAGCCTCCTGAGTAGATGGGATTACAGGTACGTACCACCACACCCAGCTAATTTTTGTATTTTTAGTAGAGATGGGGTTTCACCATGTTGGCCAGGCTGGTCTTGAACTCCTGGCCTCAAAATGATCCACCTGCCTTGGCCTCCCAAAGTGCTGGGATTACAGAGGTGAGCCACTGCACCTGGCCTTGTTCTGTTTTTAGATGTTGGTCCTCAGCTTGTTTGTGTAGTAATGAACATTTCCAGAAGGAGGAGCCATTTCTTAGTCAAACTTTCTGTTTTATAGCTTTCAAAGAAATTGAGTCTATCAGGCTGAATGTTTCATTTTCATGTGCTCTCTAAACTTTCACTAAAGATGACACCGTGTTCAAGGGAACTATTGATTCTTGAAACAAGATGTCTACATTAGTTTCAGTAAATTCCCTAACAGCCTTTTTGGGGCATAATTTATTTACAGTAAACTACACATATTTTAATTATGCCATCTTGATATGTTTATACTTGTGAAACCAACACCATAATCAAGATAACAAAAATGTCTGTCAGTCCCAGAAGTTGAGTTCCAATAAGCTTTTGTTGTACACTTAAATGGCCCACTCTCTAGGATCATCTGGAAATGGTCTCTACCTTATCTTTTTAGTAGCATTTCCAGTGAGCATGCACTGTTATTACTTCACCAGTAAATCCTAGCTCCTTTCACCTACCCATCAACCCTCATGATTAAGCAGAGGTTTTAATTATGAGCAGCAGTACGTGTATTTTTAGTGTATCTTTATATTGCTCAGTTATTACTGCAGAGAAAATGGTGCTAATTTAATTCACAGTTGTCTTCCCTTTTAAATAATTCAGTCCTTTAAATTGTCAGGTCTGGTTTTAGTCATTCTTATTTCCGTTTTTAAAAAATAAACTTTATTGCTCACACCTGTAATCCCAACACTTTGGGAGGCCGAGGTGTGCAGATCACGAGGTCAGGAGATCTTGACCATCCTCGCTAACAGGGTGAAACCCCATATCTATTAAAAATATAAAAAGTTAGCTGGACGTGGTGGCACATGCCTGTAATCCCAGCTACTCAGGAGGCTGAGACAGGAGAATTGCTTTAACCCGGGAGGCAGAGGTTGCGGTGAGCCAAGATCGTGCCACTGTACTCTGCCTGGGTGACAGAGCGAGACTCCATCTCAAAAAAAAAAAAAAAAAGCTTTATTATTATCAGTATCCCCTTAAATGGGGTAACACCATCTTATTCTCTGTAGTGTGGTCATTGCTTCAGAACAATAGATGGTTGCCTTGAACTGTTTTAGGACTTGGGCGTTGGTGACAGGTAGAGTTTTGTTTGTCAGGATTTCGTTTACTAGACTATTTATAGAATGCCACAATTTTGAGGCCTCTGTCTACCCTGTAATTTGGTTGTGGTGGTTTCCTGTATTCTAGTTCAGTTTTGCAATGGTCTCCAGAAGAGACCCTTATGCAACATTTTACTCCCATTGTCTAGAACTGATCAAATTAGAAGAGATCAGAATCAGAATTAGAGCAAGGACAAAAAGAAGGAGCATAAAAGAACCAGGACCCTGAAATTGATAGGGAAGAGTTAATAGTCTTATGCCACCCTTAAAGTTTACTTTGTCTCTCTTATTTACCCTACCCCTAATGTAAACATTGAGTGTCACTGGTGAACTAAAAGCCAGTAAATTTAGAATGTGTAGGAGTAGCTGACGCTGCTTGTCAGCCATGTGTAGGGGTGCAAAGTAAATCTTAACTAGTCCTGCTTCTCTTGCAGATTAAGGACAACTGTGGCTCTCTTTCTCCCATCATGTTTCCACTTTGCCCCAGGGGTAATTGTGATTTCACTTATCAAATAAAAGTCCATTTACTGGATTGTAAATCAAATAAACCCATTGGCGTCAACTTCAATAAGTTTGAAACATTCTGAAATCTTTAAAAACAAATTCTCAGCCAAGTATCGTGGCTCAATGTAATCCCAACACTTTGGGAAGCCGAGATGGGTGGATCAGCTGAGTTTAGGAGTTTGAGACTAGCCTGGCTAACATGGTGAAACCCCTTTTCTACTAAAAATATGAAAACTTAGCAGGGCATGGTGGCATGTGCCTATAATCCAGCTACTTTGGAGACTGAAGCAGCAGAATCTCTTGAACCTGGGAGGAAGAGGTTCTAGTGAGTCAAGATCGTGCCATTGCACTTCATCTTGGGCAGTAAGAGCAAAACTCCGTATCAAAAAAATACGAGCTGCATGTGGTAGTGCGCACCTTTAGTCCCTGCTACTCAGGAGGCTGAGACAGGAGAATTGCTTGTACCTGGGAGGTGAAGGTCGCAGTGAGCTGAGGTCACGCCACTGTACTCCAGCCTAGTGACAGAGCGAGACTCTGTCTCAAAACAAAACAAAACAAAACCAAAAACAAAAAACAAATTATCTCAGAGGCCTCCATTCATCTCCATTGTTGATGTTTAGAGATTCCCCCCACTATTATCAACCTGCTTGTTTCCCCATTGTCACGTACAGAGTGCTACGTTATGTTAAAATTCCTTATTTACCAGGCAGCAGCCTATTGGTGCAGGGTTTTTGGCAACATAGCCCACCTAACACATTCATTGGTTTCGGTCCCCAGATCTAGTTCATAAGTTGGAGCAGCCCTTAGGCATACCTGCCAAATACCTATTTTTGCATATTTGCTGTATCTACAGAGGGAATTGAGTGAAACTCTTAGCCAAGGCGCTAGGACTTCATTTGATCCTTGAAATTATTAGGGAGTTTTTTTTGTTTTGTTTTTTTTCTGAAATTGCTGTCCTAGAAGGCAGAATTTGAGGATCATTATAATCAAATTTGGGGTTGGTTTTCCTTGGTGGAGTTCTGGCTCTGAATAGCTATCTTGACCAGATGTTTCTCACAACAGGTCTGGTGTCGGCGCGCCTGTTATTGGTGAGATCGATGGGGAGTATCGACATGACAGTCGACGAAATACCCTGGAGTGGTGCCTGCCTGTGATTGATGCCAAAAATAAGAGTGGCAGCCTGGAGTTTAGCATTGCTGGGCAGCCCAATGACTTCTTCCCTGTTCAAGTTTCCTTTGTCTCCAAGAAAAATTACTGTAACATACAGGTATTCCATTATAGTTGAGAATATTTATAGGGAAAGTGGTAGGACAGTAGGAACATGTATAGGATGCCAGACAGGTAGTATGGCTTTGTGGTCAGATAAAGCTCAGAAAAAAACTGATGTCTTCTACAGGAGTTCCCTTTCTAATTCATTATGTGATCTTCGTCAAATTCTTTATCTGCTTAACCTCAGTTTTCTTCTCTAGATCAGACAAAGAAATGGAATATTAATACATATAAAAGTACTTGTGGATTGTTCAAGATTCATATACACTTAATTGTCTGTTTTTTTTTTTAACCTCATATATTTTAAAATAGGTTTGCCAAAACACCCAACACTTGATTTCATAAGACCTTGCTGTCACTTTGTTTATACCCAAAGAATGAAAATTTTTTAATTTGGAAGACAAAATTACTGCCAAAAAAAAAAAATATTCCATTCTATTACAAATGGAAATTATTTATGTCACAGCTCCCTTTATTAGTACAAATAATCATGAGCAAATTCTGTTGCAAACTCTGTCCTTTAGGTAGACAAAGCAGTGGAAATGTGTGAACCGTTCCTTCAGATCATTATTATTATTATTTGAGACAGAGTCTCGCTCTGTTGCCAAGGCTGGAGTGCAGTGGCACAATCTCGGCTCACTTCAACCTCCACCTCCCAGGTTCAAGCCTCTGTCTCAGCCTCACAAGTAGCTGGGACTGCAGGCACTCACCACCAAGCCCAGCTAATTTTTGTATTTTTAGTAGAAACAGGGTTTTATCATATTGGTCAGGCTGGTCTCGAGCTCCTGACCTCAGGTGATCTGCCTGCCTGGGCCTCCCAAAGTGTTGGGATTACAGGCGTGAGCCACCTTGCCTGGCCCAGATCATTATTTTTTAACGAATTGTTCTTCCAGTTTTTGTTGTTGTTTTGAGATGGAGTCCTGCTTTGCCACCCAGGCTGGAGTACAGTGCAATCTTGGCTCACTACAACCTCTGCCGCCTCCTGGGTTCAAGGGATTCTTTTGGCTCAGTCTCCTGAGTAGCCGGGACTACAGGCGTGCACCACCATGTCCACCAATTTCTTTGTTTTTTGAGATGGAGTCTCGCTTTTGTTGCCCAGGCTGGAGTGCAATGGTGCAATCTTGGCTCACTGCAACCTCCTCCTTTCAGGTTCAAGTGATTCTCCTGCCTCAGCCTCCCAAGTAGCTGGGATTACAGGCATATGCCACCATGCCTGGCTAATTTTGTATTTTTAGTATAGTAGAGACGGGGTTTCTCCACCCACTGGTCAGGATGGTCTCAAGCTCTTGACCTCATGTGATCCACCCAGTGGT